AAAGAAACAACATCTCTCTTATTATTTCAGAAAAGTTAAATGCTAGCTTGCCTACTTATCAATATCTAACTAATATCATAAAAAATTCAAAATCAATATTAAAATACTAGATAAGGCTAAGTAGCGGTTATGCCTACTATTCCAAAAAATTTTACAAATTCTCTTGATTTTTTAAATGTAAAAAATTAAAATGAAAAATAAAATTGACTATAATTAAAACTAAATCAAATATATTATAAGATCCATATGTTGAACAAAATAACTTTCTAGTGGGCTCATGGTCTCAACTCTCTGTTATTCCGCGTGCTATAAACCCTAAAGTACACATGATATTATTTGTTGTTATAGTTGTTGGTAGTGAGTTGTTTGTTGTTATTATTGTGATCGTTGTTGTGATACAAAACCGGTTTGAGCTTGTTTGGTTTTTGTTTTGATCATCAGACGAAATCTGATTGGATGATTGATGAGCGCTGATCATCTAAAGGGGGTAAACTGATTTTGTTTTTTTAAGTGAGAAATTTTTGGTGAATGAAAATGGGCAACAAATATTGCTATGAGAATATTGTGTATAAGGGTTGACTTGAAACAAACAGTAGACCCACTAACTCTGTTTGAGTATGTATTTTGGAAAGTATTTGACTTAGCGAGTATAATGGTGATGATGTGGATAATTTTTATAATAGAATAAGGATAAGGTGGAGTGCAAGAGAACTAAAGAAAAGAAAACTGCCACAGGTCTTTTCTCATGTAACCGAAGGATAAGCAAGACTCCTAAACTTGAATAGACTTTGATCAGAGGTCCTATCTACTGCATCAGTTGTCTTGAAGATTCTTGAGTTCCTGAGATAGGGCTCATTTGTGATAAAGAGAGTAAAACATTTTTTTTGCTTAAAATTACCATAAAAGGAAAATTTTTAACAAAACAGATACAATTAGAAGAATAAAAAATAAAAAATTATATTATTATTTAATAAATGTTAATTTAAAAAATATAAAAAAATTAAATATAAATCTTTTGGTATTTATAAATAATTTTAATTAAAATAATTTTATATTAATTAATAATATTATTTAAATATTATATATTTTTTCTAATGTTATGTTTTAAAAAATATTTTAATTTTATATTATTTATTATAAAAAAACATATAAAATCATATAAAAAAGCTTGAATTTTATTAAAATTAAGTAATAAAATTAATATATAACATAAAATTTTTAATTAAAAATAATTATTTAAAATAATAACAATAATATAATCTATATATTAGTAAAAGTAAAAATAATTTTATAGTATTTATATATTTATATTTAAATTTGTGTTTGATTTTGATAAGTTTTTACAAAGTTATACATATTAAGAAAAATTCCAAATAATTTTAGATACTCCTGTATATATAGTATAAATTTTAAGATCACACTAGAAAATTTCTAATCTGCCTTTGAAAATAATTACCTATATGGTTAATTTCCTTCTTTTTATTATTCTAATTCTCTAATTTTCATTACAGATCTTTATGTGGTTCCATTAAATTCTCTTGAAATAATAATTTATAAATAAGACAAGTTTATTAATTATTAGTACATAAGTACAAGTTATTATAAGATGATATTCTATTCTATTTAATTAAGCTATTTCATAGGTATTTACTATATATTGGCCATAACATATAATAATCTTAATAGACAAAATTTTTTTAATTGATTAATATAATCAACTAGTTGTAACTAAAAATTCCAAATTTTAATTGACTAATTTAAATTTATTTTATTAAAACTAATAATATATCTATCAATTCATATCACATGCAAAAATCTCAACAAATTATTTTAGCTTTGTAATACTTAATTTGATACATAATAACATATCATGTGACTTGTACTAATCCTATCCCATCTATTGTCAACAACACCTATAACTTTATAGACTTTACAAATTATTAATTTATATAAATATTATTTAAAAAAATAATTAACAAATTAAATGTTATATAAGTTATTTTTTTAAGATATATTATATAAAAAAATTTTTTGTTATAAAACTTGAAGACTATTTATTCATATGTATAATATAGAATATTAGTGATAGGTGTAAATTTTCCTGATTAATCAAGTAATATATCTAGAATTAATCAAATTCTTGAGACCTCCTGTATTATTCTTTTTATGTGAAATAATAACTTTTAGATTTTAATGATTTGTAATTGTTACTTTAAATAATTTAAGCTTTTGTGCATCACCATCACAAAATTCTTCAAGTAAACAAACCTAAAATATATTTGTTTTTTAAATATCTTTGTATAATTTATTATGATTTAAAATATATCAAATCTTATCAAATGACAATGCATTTGATTTTGTTCTATAATGAGAATTATTTTGAACATTTTTTATTTTTCTATCCAATAATATGATTAAATTTCCATAATAAGTATTATAAAATATATTAGGATGTGGATTCATTGCTGAGTTGTCATGTAAATATCACAATAGCAATTATAAACAAAAGTCGGTGTATATAGTTGTTTGTACTTTTATAAATAATATAAATTGATACAAACTTGCATTATAAATACACATACAAGATTGCTTTTCAAATATGAACAATTATTCGATTGTTAATTTGTCTAAAGTTACAAACTGGAAGATTTTTTATTTATATAAAGAATCAATTTGTTAAAATAACAAGTTTCCTATAAAACTATTATATAAAGTGCAATATTACCCTTTTTCGTTGTTTTCATTTTCCTTTAAAGCTCTTTTAACGTTGTCAAATGCTCGAAGCAAAATTTTTCTAGGGGCATGTCGTCTCACGCCTAATTTTTCTAAATCCTCATAACTTAATTCAATAATTTCTCTCCAATGTATTCCTTCGAATTGTTTGTAAAATCGATGAAGCCACAAGCCCTTTAACCAGCTGAAGAAGTCTTAAATTTAAATCAGGTTAGATATTAAAGTAAAATTTATAAATTACGAAAAAATACCAACATAATATACTTAGTACCTCCTTCCAATAACTTCCAATTAACATTCTCATAATTTTCTTTATAAAATTGTTTAAATGTTTTGCCTTCTCTAAACAAATATCCTTGTGTAAATCTCCTTCTTTTTGACCTCGGATAGTCTCTTTCCTCATGAAACTTTTCGATTAATGTCCTTCCTGGTGGTTGATTTTCCAACTTGGAATCTCCCAAAAAAGGAACTGGTTTATCCACAAGATTTTTCGACTCTGAGGATTTATTACTTTTGTAATCATTCAACTTTTTTTGTCTTGATACTGAATCTCGTCTCATCGATTGCAATTTACCATAATATCTTGAATTTTCATATCCTTCACATCCCTCATTCCTCAAAATACGGTTACTTACTCCTTTTCTTTTCTCTAATATTATCCCTTCATTATCATAAGATGCCAAAATTTTTTCAATCACCGAAGTTTTGTTGCTCGGCCTGTGTCTCCGTGATAATCTTTTATCATATACTTTGGATGAAGATTCTTTAGAACTATCTTGGTTCTTTTCAGTAAATAAATATTCTTTTTTAATGTCTTTTTCGTCTTTAACTTGCAGTGATTCTTCGTTTTTACTATAATATCTCTTGTTCAAAGAGTGAAAGGCATAAATCGATGGTGCTTGAGCAAATTTAATAGGTATGTTATTTGAAGGGAAAGTTAAGAGTAATTCATTCAGAGCATAGGAGTTAATAAGATGAATTGGCGTTGATCGTGTAGTAAATAAAATTTTCCTATTCCTTTTGTTCAAAAAAATGACACCCGAAGATAATCTTTGGAGTAACATGTTCGATTTCAGACTTAAATAACGCAGTGATTGTCATCTTAAAATATCCACCTCGTGACGTATATTGTCAAAATTTCTCGTGACAAAAAACTTCAATATTAAACTTCTGCCATTGTTGCATATTTTATTCTTGAATACAGTATATATATATAGTACAGTATATTGATTTTATTTTTTATTTTATAATTTTTAAAATAAAATAACTTGAATTATATTAAAAAAAAATATTTTTTTAATTGTTACAAGCTATAATTTTAGAAATATTTTATTAAATTATTTATAGAAAAAATTCTAAAAATAATAAATTTTTATTCTTTAAAAAAATAGTATATATTTTAAAATTCCAAGATTTCATGTTTTTTTAAATTATAAATAACCTATATTTGAAATAAATTTATTAACAAACTATTAAAAAAACTTAATACTTTTTTTGTATTTTAAAAAACACATTTAAAATTTTATATTAAATAAATAAATATTTATTTATTATAAAACATATTTATTAAAAAAATATTGCTTATCTACTGTATTAGATAAAATTAAAATTTTAAATCTTTAATAAATCAAAACCTTTAGACTATTTTTACAATTATTATTTTTTTAAGTAGGTAAACATTATCTCTTCATTATTGTAAAAATTTTAAAATAATTTTACATTGTGAAAGTGACAACATCTCTCACGTGACCAATTGATCAGTGAGTTTAATG